GAGGTACGCTCATGTCACTGTTGATGGGGCATAGCATGGAGGCTGGGGGCTCTTTTGTACACAGGAAGTGTGAACCCTGTCATCTTCTAAAGCACAGAATACCTTACATACTGTGGTCCCACCTGACATCTAAACCAACCTGCTATGCAGGACATGTAAAATCAAAGTAAAATACTTCAAAGAGATTTTACAATGTTACTTGATTTTTTTTTTCCTTTAACAACTTCACATTGTTAAGGTGTAAGTCTCCAAGTCAATGAATCCATATATATGCAAAACATATGGATGATAGAGGTTGGCAGTACTTATTTTCTGCCTGCAAAATTGCAGTTGTTCCCTTTTGTCTTCCCTCACTTGCCTGTTCTATATTACAAGTATGGACTTTCACGTGTGCAGGGGAACATACACTCAGAAGAGTGACTTCATGTCTATGATATCCTCTGCAGTTCAAAAGATCTCTGTGAAATGCTATCTACACAAATTTTCTTCCAGTGAATTTCCTAGTCTGCTGTTAAAACCCTGTCATAAGGCAGGAAGGATGAAGAAAACAACAACAACAACAAAACCATCACTTTACTTTCAGGTAGATGCCAAAATCTTCTCTCTGTCTCAGGTTTTCCAAGTAGAAGACAGCGGAGGTATAATTAAGGCAATAAATCTGGTGTGTCTGGCAGAGGTCACCCTGGAAAAACTGCAGAAATTATTTGGAAACTTATCAAGAAAGAAAAAATTCATGACAAATGGAGGAATGACTGTTTTGGTTTTGTAATGTGCATTTTACATGAGATTTCCTCATAACTAGGCAAATAGAGGAAGAGGGAAAGGTGGAGTTAAAAAAGTAAAAGGCAAGTTAAAGTTCAGTAAAAGTGGTAAAGTAGTTAAAAAAAACCACAACGGAGCTCAAGCAATGCCTGGGAGCAGGGTTCTAACAGCTCTGCAGAGGTGTGAAGCATTCTTAGAATATGCTCTCATTAAAAATAAATTATGTGAAATTCATGTGGAAGCAGAAGATAAAATCCACTATCTATGCAATGGCTTTACATAGCCTCATATAGCATGTCACTTTATATCCAAGTGTGTAGACAGCTTTTAGAAATGTTGAATGACATCAATGATAAAACTCGGTTTTGTCTGGGATTTTGTCTGTCTCGCACAAACATTATCTGTAAGAATGCCTGAAGTCAGAGGTAATGGTAGTGAGAAGCCAAGCTCTAGCCTCCTTTTCCCTTTTAAAAATCCTAATCCTGAGGTGGGGTCTATTTTAGCATTTTCCCAGAAGTTTTCTAATGTTCTCTACTGCTAGGGCAAGTTCAGGTCCATGAATTGATTTTCTGTCTGTATTAATATTTCCAACTTCTCAGTCATTGGGAAGTTGTGCAGGGAATGTTATATATGTGAGAGAGCCCCTGGATGGTGCTCTTCGGACAACTGCCTTGTCTACCACACAGATGGCCCAAAGGGGTTGCAGGGCAGCGCTTGGCAGCTCTGGTTGGCTGTCTCTGTGCCTCTTTCCTGCTTAGCAGACATAGGCCAAACTGCAAGAGGTGTTTCAATCCTGTTGAATTCTTAATTAACCACTTAAATACACTTATGGATCTGATCCGTGGAGTAAAGGAAGGATCTATGTGATGTAGTGGAAGGAGGCAGGCAGGGAACATCCAGTGATGGGGGCTGGGGTCTGGCCTCAGGGAAACGTCTTCCATAGAGTACGAAGCTCATCTGTGGCAAAGTCTCCTCCAGGTCTGGGCTACGGTTCCCCAGGAAGGGAAAATCTTTCCACACTTTGTTCCACGTACAGAGCATCTTTCCGTGACCACCTCAAATATGCCAATGAATGAAAAGTAAAACATCCTGCTGTCAGGAGGCGCTTGAGGCTGAGACCAAACTGCCTGTGACAGATGGCATGTCCTTGGCAGACTTGATAGCTCTAAAGCACCTGCATGTTATGATAAATGGTCTGCCGCAAGGACCTGCTGAGGTTAAGCAAGAATACTTCTAATTATGTTACCTTTCTGAGTATGGAGGTGAAATCCATAAGAGAGTCTGACTTGCTGATGTGCTCCTTCACAATTTCAAAAAATGTTTTCACAAAACTGAGACTGATCTAAGTAAGAGGGGAAAAAAGGAAATGAGCATAAGTGATCTTCTGATGTTGTTTAAAACAGCTTTATTGCCCATTCCTGGTCTCTTCAAAGGCTTCGGGCCTACTGGGATGATAATACTTATCTCCCCAATATTGCTAGAATTAGCTTCAGAATTGCACCCACAATGCTTTAATTAGTCAGAAGTTAACCAAATCAATATAAATACTTATTTATGTCATGATAATACCATATGACAAAAGCTTTGAAACAAGATTGCAGTTATTCCATTTAGACCTTTTTTAGGGTAGCAGTTGTATTTAAAATGAATTGACATGAAAAATTACAATACATGAATGGTATCTACTGGAAAACACTGATTGTGTATGACAGAGCTATGACTATTAAGGACGTTTTCGTGGACATTTGAAGAAGATACCAAATTTCACAGTTTGAGTTTGTTCCATGCTATTGGAGGAGAGAGAAATTTCTCTGAAATGCTATAAAACCCACATATTCCCCATAAGAGGTAACTTTCTGCATTTGCATTGGATTCCAAGGGTGCCCACACTGTCAGATATGGTTGAAAGCCTGCTCCTATGCCCCTGCTTGCCTCCTGAACACACTATTTGGACACAAATTTATGACCAAACTCAGCTTTAGGCCGAATTTTAGGTCAGAAGGGATTATTGTCCTATGTGATACTGCTATGAACTGTTGTTGTAGCTGAACACACTGACTTGTTTGTTATATTTATAGGGGCACGGTTGCTTATAGGATGATGCTTATTATTTTGACAAGAGTGCATTTTACATCTTTTCCAGCTTGCATTTTTTCATGGATTCATCCTGCTGTCAAGAAGAAATGCATAATAAAAAATGCATGGAAAGAGGCATAAAATGCATTGAGGGTAGCTACTTTTTTCTATGTTTGACCACTATTATGTATACAAGTATGCATACTAGATGATACTTCATTTATCATCCTCATTAAAAAGGACAACAAAATTTAAAAAAAAACCAACAAAACAGGAAATGTATCAAAGATAATTCTCTCAAGACATGATTAAGCTCAAGGCAAGCTCAAAGCTTTTGTGACCCCTAAAAGGTGCAGAGCAATACACCCCCACTCCCTTTTTTGAACAAGAATGAAGAAATCAGCAACTGCACATTGACTCAACTCTAGTATCATAGGATACCAGGCTGGAAGGGACTTCAAGGATCATCTAGTAGTTGGCTGCATGTATGGTCTTAGCCCACAGCAAGCATGAGGTGAAACATATTAGCTAAAAATCTTTCCTTGTACCTCCAAACTGGCTCTGGTGGTCTCTCACAGCAGCTCACCTGGTGTGTGGCCGGTCATTGAGCAAAAGTGATTCACTCATGTGTTCAAGCTCTAGCTAATTGTCCCTACTCTGAAGAGCTTTTCAGCTTTTCCTTTGACTAAAAAAGGGAGAAGGTAACTGTTAAGGCAAAGGAATTACAATATGGGAAAGAACTTGAAGTAAGCAATCGGTTTAGGGCATGTGTTGTGTTTATGAGTAGTCATTCAACTTATGCAGCTGAAGAGCACCTTCCAAAATTCACTTCGCTATTAAGGCTGAGGTGTCCTGTAAAACAGCTTTTAAGCTAAGAAAAACTTCCATTTTCTTTCTAAACTTATGTAAAAGCTAGTTTGGACTTCTGGGCTCCTTTAACTTTCAGGAGCTGAAAGTGGTCTCCCAGCAGTTGGCCACAAGTGGAGAAGAGCTGAAGCACATCACAACCAAGCTTTGTGATCCTCCCCCTCCTCCTGGAAGCTAGAGGATAAGTAGCACATGAACATGGGAGATAGCTGCCTACCTACACTCAGGGAAACCTCAGCTGGAGAGGGGTGGTCATCATATCACTTTAACTTGCTCTACTACAGTGGCACAATAGATAGAAAAGTCCTTGTGCCTGTCTGTCTGTGAAAGAAAACTTGTTATTGTAGTTATTTTGCCATTCTTACTGTTTTGCTGTGAGGTGTGTGCAGTCAGAGTTTATCTTCACAAATCCTTTTAAAAGGATGCTGTTCTTGAGAATTAGTCTCAGACTTGTGTTTATTTCAGAAACAACTGCCAAATTCTGCCTTGTTCAAATGCCTATTTATCTTTTGCTGGAGGCACATGAGAATAATTTGCACTGATGGTGACCCCCACTGATACATCAAAGAGAAATGAAGGAAAGACTAATTATTTGAACTAAGTGCCAAATGTGAGCATTGAACCTGAATAGAAGCTTTATGGATGGTTTCTAATCTCCATTTATTGGGCTAGTTGATTTCTGATCTCAGTAAGACTTTCATTTATTTTGCTTACCTTGTTTAAGTCTTCTAAGTTTGAGAAAAGTCTCCACAAATCCACATCCAAGAGAAATTCGTTACTCTGGAGGTATTTTAGAGTGTTCATAAATATCTTTAAAAACAAAACAAATCCATGTTATTTACTATTTGTGTCACTTCAGTATATCTCATTTTTTTCCTGAAAGGATCTTGTTTGTGCTGTTATTCTCACCAAATGATCATTTGATTTGGGAAGGGCAGAAGGTGACACTGAGAAACTTTTCCTGATCTGCCTGAAGCCTAAATACTGGGCTTTGCGTGAGCGAAAGGATATTAGTGATGTCTGTGGGGTGTCTCTGCAGCTGCCACCGAGGCAGTGGTGTCCCTGCTGTGCTCTCTGGCTGAAGAGGGCCAATGGAGACCCTTCAGATCTGTGTGAAGGAATTAATAACTTCTATGGCCTTTCTAAATCTTTTCTTCCCTACCTCGTGTGTCTGCTGTTATATAAGTTGTTTAGAGTTATTATGGGAAAAAAATGTTGAAATACCGTAAGTAGAGGGTTCATGAAAGTTTTAAATCTCTTTGAACTGTTCTGTTGATCTGTATTGAGTGAAAATTGTGTGTGCATTTATTGACAGCTTAGGACTTTTATATTAGTTAAGATCTGATGGTGATCCTGGAGCTGTGCTGAACCTGGCATAAATCTGAAGATGGCTTAAAAATGTAGGTTACTGAGTAGAATGCTTTGTGTATGTGTGAAAAAGATTAATGAAAAAACACATCACCCAGGTGCTAAGACTGAAGAGCTGGTGAGAATGCTTGCTTAGCCTTGTGTAATTATTCAGTTGCCACAAACAGTTGATCTGGGAGCCTAAAGGGGATTTACAGTGGTCTTAAAGTTCCCTGTGCAGATTCATTAAAATCAGAGGAATATTTCTACACTGAGAAGTACTTAGAGTAGCAAGTACCTGTAAAACTGGCCACCCAAATTCAGCAGGTCCTTTCTTGGCAGGACAGTTTGGAAGCTGGCATGGGCTGAATAGTTCATCATTCATGGATCAAGCATAGCTGGCTAAAGCCTGTCTGTGGGTTCCTACATCGGACTCACCAAGGGACCTGCATGCCCTTACTCTTAGGATTCACCTATTTTTTATTTTAGAAGAAAGAGTCTAAAAGGAAGGACACTTCCATCCTGCTTAGGACCTGTAGCTGGTCCTGTTGTCCTCTTTCCTCTCCCTTCGTGTTCTGCCCCACCAAGGAGGAATTCAACCCACTCCTCTATTTAGTCCCTTTACTTTGGAGTGCTTCTTGTACTGCCTAGGCTAACTTTTCAGCAACATGGAAAATGTTTCACTAATCTTTCTCCTTTGACCAATAAGAAAACAAAAATAATCCATGCAGAGTAAGAGAAAAATGATAGGAAGATGTTTAGGGAACCTTCCATCCGTTTAAATGGGTACAGTAACTTTTCATGTGTGGTGAATGTAAATAGTGCAACTATTCTTGTAACAGTGTGTAGTAGTATTGTCCATATTTCAAAGCTCTTAAAATTCACCAGTATGGACGATATTTGGAGGTGTTTTTTTAATGTTTTTGTGTTTTCTTGTAATATTGGAACTATAGATCTGCTGAATTCTGAGGTTTTCATGCCCTAGTCAGGATAATCTAACCACAGCTCTACACGAAGTTAAATGAAGAGTATAATGTTAGAGGCTAGTGGTAGAGAAATATCCAGTACAGCCAATTGGAGAGAGGTGTCAGTTCAGAGTTAGTCAGAGGAACAGTGGATTATCAAGTGAAATTACTGGAAGGATCTGCAATCAGATGGTGTTTACAAAGCACTAGAAAATCATGTCCAGAAGTAGAGATGTCGTCAAGAAGATAAAAACCAAAGGGAATTGTGGAAACAGGATGAGCAGAGAAGATGGGAGAAAACCCAAGTGCTTAAGTCATTCCCCTGTAGACACTGAATGAGAGGTTACAGAAGGCTTCATGTCTGCTGTGCTGACAGCAGGACAAATAATGTTTCATTATTTTTGTGAAATGACATCTGAAGTTACCATTTTGAGAACCAGCAAATGATCCAGAAAGTAAGTACATTCACTTGTGAAAAGTTCCCACACTGCTGCTTCTTTTTCCACTTCTGCCCGGCTGTTGACATCTTTCTGCTCAGTCTGTCGCGTCTTTATAAATTCATGCCAAGATTTACTCTATTGATTGAAGAGGAAAGAAAACCACTGACTGTTGCATCAACTGCTTCAGACCTTATGAAAAGAACCTATGATCTATTTGCCCATGTAAAGACTCTGCTGGTATTATTCTTCTTCTAAAAGCTTAAAGATTCCTTTAAGAAGATTAAAAAACCTGACAATTTCCTACAAAATATTTATAATATAAACACACTGAATTGAAAGTAACACAGTATGACAGTCTATGTTACTAGGACGCTGTGTCAAAACAAAAGCAAGCAGCACGCAAATGCTAAGGAGTTTAATCTGTTCTGCTGCTGCTGCTGAAAAGCAGGGATGTATGATAGCTTCTTATTTTTCCAGATGGTAAAATCAAGGTACCAAAGGACTAGGTCTTCATAGGCACTTGGATATTGTTTTGTTTACTTCTGAGGTGGTCATTGCCAACTTCCTGACTTGCTCCAAGTCACATTCACATATAAGTTAGGCTTTGACAGGACTCCTCAGCAACCAAGTCTATGGGGAAATGCATATAGCAGCCTGCTGTGAGAAGCAAAAGATTTGCTTTGGAGAGGGGATGATGCTAGTTGTGGGTTATCTGAATATCACCCTGGTAGCCCAAGCTTGGTTTTTCTATGATTTCCCAGAGGCCAGGAGCCTTGTTCATCTGGCAGATAGGCTTTGGTGGGATTTCTGCAGCTGAACCTTGGTGCTGGCAGTGACCTCTACATGCCTGCTCTGAATGAACCTCTAAGGCAGCAGTGGAGGTGACCGTGCCCCATTTGGTGTATTTGTGATGCTGCAGTTTTTCCCCAGATCTGGAGGCACTGCTGAGAAGATTGTCCTGCTGCCTTTTTCTGAAGGTGGTATCTCCTTGATATAGGGTAGCCTGGAACCCTGGCAAAATCCAGGTGGTCTTGAGGGCACTTGCTAACCACCAACCACACTCACAGTTTCCCCCTTGCCTCTTCATTTCAAACAACAAAAATATACCTTATGTTTATGCATTAATTTTGCAGAAAGGTCTCATGTCAAGATTAATGGAGTGAAAAATGGTAACTTGAAAAGAACACAATATTTTTATCCCCATCTTGGTACATTATACTGAGTATTTTGATACCTTAAAGCAGAAAAAATCGTAAGTGCTGCAGTCTATGATCTTAACAGTTGAAAGACAGTTTTCCAGATCAGATGCTTGCTTCTGTTTGTCTTTACCCTGTTGAATGAAAAAAAAACAACCAAACCTTGTTACACACAGTGTTTTAAAGACCAACAAGAAGTTCACCCAGCTTAGCAACCTTGCTCTTATCTGTAAGGAGCTTGCTTTTAACTGAGTAATTTCCTCATATTTCCAGGCTCTCCTACACAGAGATGAGACAGTGATGGCGGGTTTATTTATGGCTATGGGTGGGGTGTGTAGGTGGCTTAGGTGTGGGTGTGTAAGATCTTATTTATGTAACACAGAAGACTTTGGCAGGGCAAATCATCGGTATGGCAACAGACAATGGGCTACCCTCAGCAGACAGAACAAATAAAGTATTTTACTTCCTTCAGCACTATCAGAAGTAGTTGTTTCAACAAACTCATAGTTGAAATAATCCTCCTACCATAAATATACAGATCTTGTGTATTTTTATTTATTTTGATTTAAAAAAATAATTATTTGAGCTACATAGTGAAAAAACTTTGGTCAGCTGCAGAGTAGTGTCTATAAAATCAGCTTTTAGAAAGCTTAAAGAACAGGAGGAGTTTCTCTGTGTGTGGGATCATGAAATAAAAACAATTGGTTTTGATTTGGCTTTGTTTTTCAGGCTGACAGTGTCACATATAAAGCTTAACAAATATTAATGGACTGTAATTTAGTGTTTGCTTAAAGTTTTATCTGCTCTCTGGAGATGTATACTCATACTTCATTGATTTCTATTGTCTGAACTTTACTACTGAGCTCAAGCCAATTTCGAAATATGTATTTGATTATAATATTTGACATTCAGAGTTTCAGCTCAACTGTTAGTTTTGAAAGATAGCTTGAAGTGGAGCAGAAACAATAATGCAATTATATATACACACACTTAACTGAGGCTTTGGCAAATGAATATTCATAAATTAAATTTTACGGCATTTAGTAGTCTCAGAAATCACTTTTGGCTAAATACCAAATGCACTTTATTGCAGATTTCAAATATTTTGCTGAATTTAAGAATTCTCAGTTTTAGGCCATGCTTCTTCAAATGCTATAGAAATGCAACCAAATGAAGTGGGATCTCCGTACATGCTAATCTGAGTACTTGCACTGGTTTCACTTGCACAGACTCTTCTTTGGTAGTCAAGATTTGGAAGATAACATGCAAAAAAATATTAGGAAGGGCTTGTTCACAATTACATGTTTAGAGGTGCAAAGTTGTCAAGACACAAATGATTTTTTTGAATAATGAACAACACTTAAAAAGGAAATTCAGATGCCAGAGTAAATGAAAATTTTCATAACTTGGAAAGACAAGGAAATGTGTTAGACAAGGAAACTGAAGTGTCTTGGTGTGTATGCTTTTACTGAAAGTGTGAGGGTGCCCATGAGCCTGTAAAGAAACTCTTTTTGCCCAGGTTAGCTGTAGGAGAAGGGAAGGTCAGTGCAAAGGAAAGAAAAAAGAAAAAAACATGGCAAAATACTCACGATTCCTCTTTTGGCAAATGGCCACCTTGGCTTTTTGGACTCTAATGGGTAAAACAAATGTGTTATCAGTAAAGAAACAAATAGCTAAAAATAAAACTCTTATTTATATGTGTTTTTTAGTTATTATTGCTGTTTTTTTAGACAAAGCCGGATATACTAAACTCTACTTGGCTCAGATGTAATACTTGCATTTAGGCAGTTTGTGCACTAGGCTTAGTACATACTAAGCCTGTTGGGTTCCTCCCAGCAAGATTATGTCTATCTGTGATGGGATCTTGGATGATGTTGAACACTCCCACTTGCTGCAGATGATCAGTATGTGATTGCCAATTCTTTACACTGGAAAACACATCATACCTCAGACCATTTCTTGAAGATATTCTTTGTTTTGAAGCAAGAATTAGGCTGTGTCTGCTCATTAGTGATAGCTTGGAGCTATGCAGGTATTTAAAACACCTGTGAATAAACAATCCTACAAACCCGAAGCCCCAGATCTGTCCTGGAGCTGGCACAGTGGTGCAGGCTGTAATTCATGGTCCTTAGTGAGACACAAGAAAGGCTATGCATCTAGATGCAGAAATGGACTGGTGAGAGATGAAGAATGCCTGTGTTTGTTCAGCAAGAAATTTGAAAGAGTTTTCTAAATGTGGCACCCATGTTCAGGCCTGCGTGTGATTGGGAATTACCATCCTAACTTTCTCCTTTTGGATTTTGAAGGCCTTGGTCATTCTTTCTGGAATGGCTGGCTCATTTGATTTCATGAAACTGCTGGTTGTGACCTTAACTTATTTGATTTTTTTTGAGAACATTTTGATCTCTGGTCACCAGCATCTTCTGATCTTTGGCAATCACACTGCACAGTAACACTCCACAATAGATATTTGTGGAAATTACTTGCAGGTCTACATTTCAGTGTTGGAAAGTCTTGTGAGCAACCTCTAGCTGCGAGTTGGGTTTGCTACCCTCATGATTAGAGCATTACTGGGAAGGGTGACATGGGCCACTCTCTTCCTTCTGCTTGAACCTGTGCAGGTAGGAATTTGTAACTCAACTGCTTGCAGCTGGAGATCCTGGCCTGGGCTCTGTGAAGGAGGGAGGTGATCTGTGTCCTGCCCCACCTATCTCTCTTACATTTTGCATTCAACAATAAAATGTAGGCAAAAAAAGTCAATTGAGGGGAATTTTAAAATTAGTGATGCAGTCACTTTGGTGTGGGGTAACAGAATCCTCCATGGAGGTTACACATGCCTTGCGTATTGCCATTGCCCTGATCCTCCCTCCCCATCCCACATGCGCACACATTTTAGCCATGGCTTTTGCTGGGCTTGGATGAGCAAACCCCGCCCTGTGTCTGACCTGCGCTTAGCAGCAGGGCTGCGTGGAACAGGTAGTCCATGGCACTGTCTGACACCAGGAGGTCTCCAGGGAACACCTCAAGTCCCGGCAGACTCACTACCACGGAGCTACGCCTGCGCTCGGCTGATCTGTGAGACGCAACAACAACACAGGTCATCTCCCTCCACTCGTGGCTGCAGGGGACACTTCTGAAGTGCTCCCTGCTAATACAGGAGGAAATGAGCTAAAAAACCAAATCACAGCGGCTATGACATAATGTGTTAAAGGAACCATGAACAGAAAATTTCATTGATCAACAGCAAATATCTAATTATCTTTCCAGCTCCACATTGTTGCTAAGATCTAGGTACTTATGGCCATGGCTTGCCTCATATAGCTGATACTTAGATTTAAATATTGGAAACTCCTGGGTTGTTCTGAGATTAGGCAAAAAGTGAGTGGAGATTTTAGAATCTATGTTTTGGCACTTGAGTCCAAAGGAGCAGTTAAATACCATGTCCCTAGCTGATATGTGGGTTGTCATTACTTTTAACCTTCATATAACTAATATGATTTCAAGAAAAGAAAACATGCTAATGAAACAGTTAAAATGTTTTTGGATTTTTTTTTTTGTGGGGGGGATGTGGGGTGTGGAGTTTTTTGTGTTTTTTTTTTAATATTTAACTTTTTGGCTACTTTGTGCTATTTTCTTTCTAAATCTTTATGGCATTTTTCTGCTAATTCAAGTATTTTGTATTTTGAATATAATATGACTTAGCGACCTTGCTGATCAGAGACAAATGGCTCTTTCCAACTATTGTTGTTCCTAACGGAGGGCATTGTCCAGAATGTAAATCCATCAAGTGCAGTGACACAAGCGCTCTGCATCCAAGAGTGTATTTGTGCCAGAGGCTGCTTGCATTCAAGCACAGAAATTATTGGTGCACATCAAAAACCTTTTTGGATTTTGCTAATAACTCACACTGATACACAGTTAATTGTGTCAGTGTACTGTTGCGAGGTGCTGGGTGCCTGTAGCTTCTGTTCCGCTGCCTTCAACTGACGGATGCATGAAGGCTGCATCGAATTTCAAAGGGTCATTAATTAAGTAGCTGAGGGAGAAGGAATGAAGTGTTTGTGCATATATAAAAATTCTCTCTTTCAGTCATCATTTACTGTGTATGGTATTTTTGGTCAGTTAAGTATAATTCTTATTACTTTTTTGCTTGGGTGGATACCTTACTGTGAATATTTAGCCAATTGCCAACACCTGTTGTGAAACCTGGCAGGTATAGTTTTCCCCGTGCACATATAGTCACTTGCCAACTTATCAACTGGCAGATGAACTCTGAGGTAGCAAACTGGGATTTGATATGTAGAACAGGACATGGAGATTATGATTTTGTTATGATCTGACAGTGATATTGCTTGACATTGCCTTAGTTAAACCAATTGAGTTATATGAATGAAAGGGAAGACTGCTCCTAACAACAGAGAGGGCTATAGGCTATCAGAAGGACCAGGTCTGGGACTTTAATACTTGAAACATGGGCATATTAGGGCTTGAAAACTAAATGTTAGGGAGTTTACAATGTACAACATACAAGATTTCCAGAAGCTTTTCCTTTTCTTTAGCCCTACTGAATGGGGAATATAGGATCTGTTTCTTTAACTTTAAGGACTTACAATGAAAGTCTGAGGTTTCTCATGAAATTGAACCTAATGTTTAGTTTGAGAGTTTTTATGGATGGAGTCTGTTTTGTTGGTGGTCTGCAAGCCCATACCAGTACAAGGGAGACGGCTTCGTGATGAGGTGTGCTGAGTGCTACCCAGTGCATATTTTAAGTGTTGGTAACAATTGTATTAAGAGGCTTCTGAAACCTCTAGTGATTCCACCATGAAATCCCTTGGGCAGCTGAGTTTTTATGCAAGCCAGATGCTGAAATATAATACAAGGATCATTATAAAAGTTCTCACACGTGTACTGGGAAATTCAGGAGTTTTATTTCAAGTTGGAGTCACAATAAAATTTTGCAAATGTATTATTGATTCTTAAATATTTATCTAAATTATAGATTCTTCATATAGGGGTGCAAGCCTGTGAAGTATGGAAGCATGCCAAGGTCACTTGGCTGTGTATCTACAATATACTCTTTGCAGTCTGACATGCCTGGTCTGAATAATGACTTACATGCCTAAATTACATACTCATGCTTCACGAATGAAGGTACTGGTATCTGTGATCCCCTGGCCTGATGCCTCCAGATGTATTAGACATATTAGGCTCTTTTGTTGGATTTACTGGAGAAATGAAACTACTGAAGTGCTGTGTGATGCAATCTATCAGTTTTTGAGTCTGTATGCAATATCTTACCATCTTTTCGTGCCCAAAGACCCTGTAGCTTTGCCTTTTTCATTAGATTTTGTTGTTGTTGGTTGTTTGGGGGTTTTTTTTCTCTTATTAGAGGGCAGGGCTAAAATGCTTGAGTGAAAGAAACACTTGTACTTTAGCAGTGAACTCAAGCACCTGAGGAGATATCATCTGCAATAGTTCCTCCTTTAAATTTACTTGTTTTGATAAGATAATGTCACAGGTTTGCATTACAAAGTTACAGAAAATTATTAAAGACCCTGAAGCAGTTCATAGTCAGAAAAAACAAATATCCTGGGTATGCAGTTGTTTCTAGGGCATGCAAAGTTTCAGCTGATTGCTTTTTAGATGTCTGTATCTTGGTATGTTCATAATCTTAGCTTAACTAGACCTTTAGATGTCCCAGGGAATAGACATCTATATAAATCAACTTACTTAAATAACAGGTATGTTATTTACAGGCATGTCTACTAGATGAGAATAAATACAGCTGAGGAGTTTACAAGGGTCAACATGATGGGGTGGGTCACGGTACTGAGACAAGCTGTTACCCAAGCCACTCAGGGAGGGTTATTGGACTCTCTGATTCAAAGAGTTAGCATGACACTTTATGGGCATATGAGACACTAAAAGAGGAAGTGGAGCACTTCCAAGATAGATGAGCCCAGTTCCCTTATCTCACTGAAAATGACCTGCCTTGGTGGTTACTGAGAAGATTTCTCATTAGCTGGTTGTCTTTAGGAAATAGTGCAATCCAGTTTTGCACCCAGTCTCTGAATGGAGCAAAGAGAAAATGAGCTCAGAGTAAATGAAATGTTCTGTTTTATCAACATTTCCTTTCACAGCGCTGTTTGCTTTAGCATCTCACCCTGTCTCCACGACACACACCTCTCTCCTGCCCCTCTGGTCCTTTTCGTTTATTTATTTTGGCTGCTTATTTTTAATCAGCATCAATTGAGCATGTTGCCATACCAACAGAGGTGTACTGCCATTCCTGATGGAGGGCTGTCTAGGGGAAGGCTGCTTAAAATGAACATTGCTGCTTTAAGAAACGCTTTTGAAAGTACAGCTTGGGAGCAGGGAGAAGAGGTGTTTGTTAGAACTGAAGGATGGAGGCATGTTTTTACCCTGGACAATAGGTAAGTCAGTCTTGGAGGAGGGTTGCCAACTGTCCCAATGTGCTTCTAGATGGAGAGAATAATCTGACATTTCAGCAGTTTTCTCTATGACGAGTGATTAACTGTTAATGAGTTAGACAAATGATCGGGATAGAGGAGCTGAATCCATCCCTTGCCCAGACCTTGGACCAACTTCAACCTGACAAAAAAGTTTAAAGCAGAAACTGGTGATTTATTTTTTTTTACATTTCTGCACATTCTAATATTGGTCAGGACAAGAAATAAAATCACAATACGTCATCAAAACGTACTTTTTTTGATCTTTCCGGCTGGTGTATTGCTGCTTGTTATGAGGCTACTTCTGTCTTCCCTGAGCCTTGCTCACCAGTGCTAGTGCTTTCAATATCCCTCGCTCGCCTGCATTCCCCACCTGAAATCTTCAAGGGGATCATGCAGTGAAGTGAGCACTGCACCATCAGTGTGAGAAGTACGGTTATTGAGGGAGGGCTATGTCCGTACTTCTTTTCCTTCTGTAAATATGTGAACATCTTAAGGAAACAAACATGGCTGAATCAAACTAATTTCTAATTAAATGTTTACTTTTTGGTAATTGCTTGTAAGAGCCTGATGCAATTCACTGCACAGATCTACAGTACACAACACCTTATCTTGCCTGCACTACCTTATAAAATTCAGGTGTCCTTCTTTGTAGAATTAACAATCTCCCTACCCAGAAAAGTCCTAGATCTGCTTTACTCATGTATGAGAACAATATTGAACTGTTATGCTAGCTGCTTTGCTCCCTTTTCACTCCCACAAAGTTTTGAAAAATGTTACTCAAGATTATGAGATGTTTCACATTCTTCAAGCTGAAATTTGATGCTGCTAATCCGAAGAGCCAGAGCTTTTGGTAGTTAGTTCCTAGTGCAGAGTTCTCCAATGGTCCAGTTGAAATATTGCATGAAATATAGCTAAAAGTGTTAGGGAGAGGGCCACCTTTGAAAGAAAATCTCATTAAAAAGTTTAGTTTAACAAGCTGGTGACAGGCATTTTACAAAGCAAATCTACAAATTACAGTTGAGTTACACATACATGCCTCACTGCGCAGTTTTGTCTTAGAGTGAAGTGGATTCATTAAAAATGTACAGAAGTGAAACTTAGAAGAAGATAAATACATGCATACCTTCGTATAGGCAATCCACTCTGAAAGAAAGTGAGATATTCTCATTACTTGGTCAGCAAGCAAGCAAGGAATCTGATTTTGTGAAAAAATTCTCATTTGTTAAGAGAAATGTGCTACATAGACTTAGACATTGGCTAATTATTTTCACTGCTGTGGGGAAGGAGAAGAACTCATTTGATATCCACAGTGTTTTCAATACGTGAAGAGAGACACAAGTGGCTTTTGGCCTGAGGCACAAAACTAACTGGCTAGTAAAGAGCTATACACCTATTTGACACCATCCACCTCCAGTGAAATGTGTGTGTGGATGCTTTGCCTAAGGACAGAGTCAAACACTTGTCCAAATTTAGCTACTTGTACAAGTAACGCAAGGTCATTGAGAGCAGATCTAGTAGCAAACCTGGTTCATGCAGTGCCTCTCCTTTTCTCCTTGGGGTGAAGTTATGTGGGACAGCTGAATACAGCCCTTGGTTTGCCACCAGAGAAAGACAGAGGGCTAGCAGCTCCCTCACTTATTTCTTTTTACTGATGCTGGCATCACGGGACCAGTGTTTGTTTTTCTCAGAAAAGATTGCACAACTGCCTGCTCATTTATGAAGCTGAACATAAAAATGGAGGGGGGCAGTGAGTGGCAGAGCTATGTAACTGGAAGTAAAGAAATGAGACCTCTTCCTTTGGTAATAGGAAACCTTAAATTTTGCTCAACCATCTTGAATGACTTCATTCTTAGTTTTGTTGGGGTTAGTAGTGCAATTCAGCAAAACAGAATAGAGAAACGTCTTGGCTTAGGAAGAACCTGGCTGAATGACCCTGGAAATAAAATAATCTTCTAAAACCCAAACCAGAACTGGATAAATTACTTAGTCTTGTTCTTTCTTGTCAAACAGTGATACTGGCCCACCAGGGTGAATGAACAGAGGTGGGTAAGAGTGGCCACATGCAGGAACAGACTAGACCGACCTGGTCACCAAGGGACAAGGCTGGAACCACAATGGTTCTTTCAGCTCTTGCTGATTTGAAAGGAAAATCTCCTTTCTTGATGAGCATAGCACTTGGTCTGTTGTATCAAAGGAACTAGGGCCAGGCTGCAGTTTAACAACAGGTTAAGAACTGGTTTCCTTTATGCACTGGGCCGTAATGGACCAACACTGAACATGCAAGACTGAAAAGGAGGTTGCATCATCCTCTTCCTCTTACCTGGACAACCTTCTGTGGTGTAGGGCTGGGGCGGGGGAGTCTCCTAGGTAGAGTTGCAGAGTTGGCTCTCCGAGAGTTTTGGAGTGTCTCATTGGGATTGCCACTGCTGAGAGGATTTTTTTGGCCTGGCAGCTTTGATATGGGGCTGGCAGACTCTGGATCTGCTACAGTTGTGTCAGACTTTGCTTTGGAAGACAGCAGTTTTGCATGGACACAAGAAGGCAATGACAATGAGGAAGCTGTAGTGCACCGAGGTGGACTCTTACAAATGTGATGGAGAGAGCCAGTGTATTCCTTTTGATGTCCCAGGGAATCTGTGTCAGAGCAGTCCTGAAATGACAGTGTTTGTGAGGCAGAGGACATCCTCAGACGCCTTAAAGTTGGAGAAGTGGAAATTCTGGCCAAAGCATTCCGATCAAACTGGAAAGGTGCATGATGGCTCCCAGTGCATTCCTCTGTGGGAAGCTTCAGAAGTGAAGACTCTGTATAACCTCGTCTTCGAATGTAGTCGCCTGGAGGCATGGTGGTGTCCATACAAACTGATACTGCCTGTGTGTCATAGGGACTGAAGATGTCTGGACTGCTGCTTCCAGAAAAAGCAACATTTTCTTCATGAAGCTCAGCTTCCCTGGTTAGACGTCCTGTGCTGATGCAGGTTTCTTTGACCAGGTCTGAGTAATAATCAGAGCTTGGTTGTTGCATTCTTTATTTGCAGCATGAAGATTTATAGCTTTAGGCACCTAGGACACATGATCAGAAAAGGTTCTTAGAAACTTGCATTTTTATATGTGAGATTATGCAATTGAGGGAAAAAAAAATCTGAACAAAATAATGTAGATACGTTCACTAGTACAGAAACAGTTGCCTGCACTTTGAATCATGCTTAAATGCAGGTTTTGGCAGCTTTGGGACCCTATTTCAGCAAGATGTTTAAACACCCACTAACTTTGAGTATGCAAGCAGTGTCAGCATCAGTCAGCAGAAGTAATTAGACTAACTGTGTAATTAGGAGCTCTGCTTGTCTGGTACTGCAGCCGCTTAATTTCCTGTTGCCACTCCCCCATCAATAAGTGAGATTGTGACACTGCTGGACATGGGATAAAAATGAAGTCGCTAGCTCTCAGGATTCCTACTTGTTGCAAAATTGTTTATGTAGAAATACTAATTATTCGCTGAATGCTTAAGCAAATACAATTTAACATTTCTGTAAGGTGAGTCTAATCACTCTTGCTTTTCAGTAGGAAAAGTCTTTTGTAGTGAACATTTATACATTGTATGAGAAAACAATTTATCAAGATAACTTATCTGTTGATTAGTCAGTAAATAACCTTATGCTCTGTGATTCATGAAGCTCTATTTTAAGGTATTTTGATGACTGGTCTAAAACTGGACTGACATTTGAAGTTATAAGCGAGGATCATTAATTCAACCTCTTCTTTAGTTCAGCTTCTTTGTTTGCTAAGAGGAATCTTAAAACTGTTCATGATTGCTGGCTTCTTTGGGCACTTATATTTATTAGAATGGGTTTGTTGAAACATGTTGACTTTTAACTTGAGCTATTGAATATCACACATTATGATATTTGATTTGACATATGATTTTTGTCTAATTATATAGTCCTATCAGATTGATTTATAAAGTGATTAGAAACAAATTATTTAATCAAGTTTGCTAGTTCAAACTACTGCTTTTTACAAACTCTTCTGTCATTAGAAGACAATCATTCAAAGGTTTACAGGAAGAAAAAGCACATCTTTATGATGGAAATGACTGCTTTCACACCTGTAGTGTAGTGAATAGCCACAAATACATTAGCAACTATGCATTCCACTTAATAGATGAAGACTAATTAACACACGCTTATTAAAATGGACAAGCACTAAAAATCACATTCAAGATATATAATGAATCACAATAATGAGAAATTATTGTTATTTCCCATTTCCTTTTTTTTTGTTTGTTTGTGGTTTTTGTTTTTTGATTTTTTGTTTGTTTTTTTTAATAATTGCCTTTTTCCCGTGTAGAATTGTGCAACTCTGCATGGAGCTTCCAGATATTCATGTAAATAGATTTCTGTTGCAGAAATAGAAAAGATTAAAGACATCTTTTCATGGAAATCTTATATTAAAATATGATTTTTTTTTTTTGCTTTTCAGTTTACCTTTTTTTCTAAATAAGTTGAAACTCATGAGTTCCTTTATGAGTACTTATGAGTTACTTTTATAAGTAAAATCTCTCAGCAGCAAAATATTTGTAAAGAAATACAGCGTTTAAAAAAGTGCAGAAATATGCCACACACTGAAAAAATTAGAATATATGAATGAACTTACCAAAGTAGCCAGGTGAAGATTTACCAACTTCCAGTGTGCCACATCCTTTTTTTCATATGCAATTCAACAAGTCCTTGTTTAACTGATACTAGGCTTAGCAGTAGCGTTTTCTCTTCTGAAGCCTCCTTACTGAATGGTGGTATAGGGAACTAGTTTTTCTTCTAGTAGATTTGTTTCTAGGGGATTTGTTTATCAGGTCAGACGGAAGTGGCTTCAGGATCAATGCCCATTTACAAAAGGTAACATGATCCATATGTTTTCTGAAAATTCATTCCCTTTATAATTAATTTTTAGTACTTTTCACACTGATAAAATGTAGCAAGAGAGATCTCAGTCAAGTATATAATAAGCTGCAAGAGCAGATGAAATGTCTCCACCCTTCCACTAATCTTTTTTTTTTTTTTTCTTGTCTTGATTCATTCGTCTGGGTCTAGCTGTGCATTGTTCATCCTTCATAGAAGAACAGTAGTGCAATATCTCTTGGTTACATTATTTAAAATACGATTTCAAGTTTAACAAGTGTGCTAACTATCTGAGTAATTCTGAACATAGACAGATTTCTGTATCAGAGTATTTGAGAGTTCATCCAAGCATCAATAATTCACTATTATGTTGTGTTGTAGAACTGTTTTGAAACCATCAGAATTGGTTTAGGGCTTTGTTGATTGTGTGAATTGAAAGTAAAACTTGGGAAAAGATTGTTTATTTGCTTGATAACTTGTGAGGAAGCACTAACCTCCACAAATGTTCAGATCTATTGTGGTAATTAACACACATTTTCAGAGTGCTAAGTGAACATTTGAAAATGCAGACAACCTTGGCACTATGACATTTGCATTTTCTGTAAAGATCTTTTTCAAAACTCATCCACAAACTGAAATGTGATACCGTGAATCTGGTATGAGTTAGTGCCTTTGAGTTTGCTTAGCATTGGATGTGACTGTGTATTGAGGGACGAGTCTGTCAAGAGAATGACAGAAGAAAACAAACTCAAAGACTTTATTTGCAAGAATGTGACAATATTTATTCCAGTATTCATTGACTTTGGCTTCTAAGAAAAAAGTTAAAAAAGAAAAAAGTATCACCCTGTCTGATAGTTGATGGTAAGTATATTTGCTTTAAGTGGGGGTTTTAGGAATGTAAGACACTTTTTTGTTGTTATCCTTATGTTGCTCCCAAGGTGATATTAGGATCAGATCAAGTGAAAATATACAAACGTCTGGAGATTCGACAGTGTTCGAGTGGGGGTGGCAAGGCTTTCCAGGAAGAGGTTTAGTCTTCTGTGAAAAGGGGATGGACATTCAACAAATGAAGCCATACCCTTCCTGGGGTGAAGGCTTCACCTGGGTGTGAAAACACCTCTGTGTTGGGAAGAACTGAGAGCTAAGCCCTCTGCTCCTGGCACTCTTTACATTTTTGTGTAGTGTATAAACAGGCTCTTCTGCTGTCTAGTTGAAATCTTCTGAGTGTGCTTTAAAGCTACTACTATGATTTTACCTCCACAGCTTCTTATATGAAAGTATCTAGGTGGCCCTTTGCAAGTACCAGTCCCCAAATTAGTACAGAATCTATCAGACCAGACTTTATTCCTGCTTTTCAGCTTATAGAAACTTCATCCTAAATCTGAATTTAAGCCAAACATCTGAATATCTGAACATTCAAATACTGCTATTCTGTTTGCCTGCATGCAATCCAGAGGATGTCAGAGATGGCTAGACTAGAAAGAAGGCTGTTGTGCACTTCTCAGATACCAATACACATACTTGGGTCTTCATAGCTGCCAGGTGGGATGATTTTTGAAAGAGACAGTTGGATAAACATTAGTAAAAGAAAGAAGTTACAGTGCTAGCCTGACATCAGGACTAGTGTGAACTGTTCTCTGCCACGTAGTGCTGGGACTGGTTTAGGTGGCTTTGGACATAGCTAGGCAGAAACTTTGTTTTAAGGCCATTTTTGACAAATTATTTCTAACTGAGACCTGGAGGTTTGCTTTTTGGTGTCGTTGATTTTTTTTTTATTCTATCTAAGATATATCCTTCAGGTGATCAGTATACTTATATTAACCTAGTAGCAATTATATAAAAAGAAGTTATACTATTTCCTTCCCATTTGCTGGTGCTATAAATTGAAAACTGTCCCTAACTTCCATTACCCAGAAATAAAAATATTCTTAAAGGCTTAACCACTTCTCTGGCTTAACCTGGGAGGCTATTTTTTGGATGTAGGTAAAATCATAATTGCCCTAATTTTGCCCAGAATTCACTTGCACTGTCTAACTTGCCTCTAAGTCCTAATTGTAATAAAGCAGGTATCTCTCTCAGCCTGGACTATGTTTGTGTACTTAACTGGCTCTTATCACCATATCTTCTCAATTTACATAAGCTACTACCTTTCCAAACAAGTATCATCCTAGTTCCAACTATAAACTCAATTCTAGACAAAACTTTGCCATAGCCTTAATTCCGTGAGTGATAATTTTTATTCTCAGAAGCAAATGTAGCCAAGTCATTTAACTGACTAAGCTCCAGTTACCTTGCATGTGCTTTCTATAAGAAATAATTACATTTAATGAATGGCCTCCTCTGGTCTAAATACTAACATTTGTGCTCAAATCTCAACTTTCAGCTAATCTTACTCTAAAATACACCTCCACTCTGAAGCTAAAGTTAATTAGTTGTCCCCTGTGCATTTTGTTCTGGTAGTCTCCTTTCAGCACAGTATGCCCCAGTGCATTGGCCTTTGCTGGCCTGACCTGTAATGCTGCCATCAGCTTTAGCCTTGGTCTTTTAAAGAGTTGCAGGGTTTGGCAGGTGACTCCTCCCAGGGTTAATCTCCACGTTAGACCTATCCCCCCTTATGGATCAAGATGATACTTCAGGTCAATGATCTTTGCTAACTTTGACCCGAACTATGTCTATCTTAAACATCTTCTCCAGCCCTACTTCTCTGGTTGTTCCAGAAATATACAGAGCCAGATGTCCTCACTGGCCTCTGCAGTCACCTTCTGAACTTGCGTATTACTCATGCTACTAAGTCTCTGTATGACGAAACCTTCTGTTTCGTGTTCTCTCATTAATGTAGACCAACAGCTGCTCCAGCCAGCCCTTCTCACCTTTTCACCTGTCAAGTGACTTCTTGATGTAGGATATCCCTAGATTCTGCCTGTACAGCTCCTTATTCTCTCATTTGGTT